AAATTTGGCTTGAGTGTTGGTTATCACCCATGGGTAAAGCCTATTGAAAATGAGAAAAATCGAAATAATATTTAGTATGAGTTATTGCCCTTGATCTTGAAAAATCGTTCAATTTGTAGCTCATAAAAACTCTAGAAGGCATAATTCTTGCCGAATTTTGACAAAGCTTGGTTTTACTATTCATTACTGCGCTGAAGATTGAATATTTGTCTTCTAGAGTTTTCACGAGCTAAAGATTGAACACGTTTTGAAGAACTAGGGCAATAACTCATACTCAATATTATTCAGTATCGCCCAACAGAGTTCAAAAGAAGTGTATGACTGAAGGTTGAATATTTCATACTGGTGATTGTTACTGTACTATCTATTAAAGACAAAAGAAATACCTACTCCATCTGATGTTGATTCGGTTATTTTTGCCACTGACGGGAAACATTTGTCTATCACTCTACCAAGTTTCAATCGGATCGCTTCAGTAGTTTATTCCCCACAAATCATGCACTAGCGCGACTTTTACTTTAAAATAAACACACACTACAGTTTAAACGTTTTATTCATATTAATACAATGATACACCCATATATACAACAATAAGTGTCTTCTTCTTCATCTTCTTGTTCAGCTTCTCCCTCTCTCTCCAACTCTTCCAATCCAAGCTTATCTCTCCTCTTCATCACCTCTCTGGCACCACCTCTCTGGCACCACTCCCCGCTCCCACCTACTCCAATCCTCCTCAAACTCCTTGAACCTCCTCTCTCTCTCCTAGTCCAACACCTCAATCTCATCCATCCAAGCCTGAATCCTCCTCCTCTCCTCCCTCCATTCTTTTCCTCGCCTCCTCCTGCTTCCTCAAACTCTCCTCTCCCTCCACACTACCAATCGCATCCAGACTTCTGAAAAAGTCCTTCATCGTCAGTTTTTCCCTCCTCGCCCTCTCGGCCCTCCTCTGTCTCCTTCTCCTCTCTTCTTCCTCTTATGACCTGCTGAATTATCTTTCCTTCTCACATCCATCTTTCAGGTTTAACAACCAAACCTCAAATGTCTCCTTTCTTTCAGGTAGGGTATATGCTTTTTCTTCTCTTTACCTCTAAGAAACTTGATATACCCCCAAACCTGGACAGAGTTTTAATAACCAGGTAAGTTTTAGGGACAATTTACATAGTTCTAATGGTTTGAATAAGTTTTTTGGACACTGAATTCAGGTGGGCTTAGTGGTTAGGCCTTTTGATTTTCCAAATGAAAAAAGTAGACTTTGAATGGGATATTTGAAATGGCAATGGACACTTTAGTTCTTCAAATTTCGATATGCAACCAATCGGCGGCCAACTTGTTTTAGTAACTAAGTGTGTGCAACAAGTAGAAAAGCGCAGTAACCGGATAGTTTGAGTGACTTTAGGGATTTGGAACTTTACTGATCGAATAGAGGATGTCATGGAATTTTACTGATCGAATAGAGGATGTCATGGAATTTTACTGATCGAATAGAGGATGTCATGGAATTTTACTGATCGAATAGATGATGTCATGGAACTTTACTGATCGAATAGAGGATGTCATGGAATTTTACTGATCGAATAGAGGATGTCATGGAATTTTACTGATCAAATAGAGGATATCATGGAATTTTACTGATCGAATAGAGGATGTCATGGAATTTTACTGATCAAATAGAGGATGTCATGGAACTTTACTGATCGAATAGAGGATGTCATGGAATTTTACTGATCGAATAGAGGATGTCGTGGAATTTTACTGATCGAATAGAGGATGTCATGAAACTTTAAACTATCATTTTCTAGACGAGTATCCATTGTCATCAACTTTACTACCAACTCATGATTCTTGATTTCAGATGACAACTATAAAAGACAAAATTCTTTAAAAACCAGAATAAATTGCCCAGAACTTCAAGCACTCACATAGCGACAGCTTCTGGAGTTTATCATCTTACATAGCTGATTA